TCTTTTATACCAGCAACAACAGTTTACGATCGAGTCGGGGGATCCGACGTATCAAAAGAGGAAGCTGTCGGCGACGAGCGGGACTAAGGGAGCGCGTTTGCTCGCAGGTGCGCAACTTCAGGTTTTTTTAAGGGCAATAAAAGTGCTCGAAGAACAGGTATGTGTGTGTGTGTGTGTGTCTGTAAGCAACGAACAAAACGAAAACAAATAACGCGAAGCGACGAAGTTAACAAGTGGAAAAGATGCTGCAGCGTTCGAAAAAATTGCTATAAAGGTCGACGATACCGAATATATGTTCGAGAATTATGATAAATTAGCGTCTACAGAAAGCAAAAGGTGACGTTTATTTTTTTTAAGTTTATTTTTCTAATATTGATAAAAAAATATGATGCGGCTTATATGCGTAATTGTTATCATTTATATCGGACGTATTTTGTATTTTATACGCGAAACATCGAATAAAATGTCTAACGTTTAATTAAAATAATTAACCAGTTTTAATATTCATAAGAGAATCTCGTGCCTCGATTTTGTGCAAACAACTTTCGCGTAGAGTCCGAGCGGTGAAAGATCGTAAAGTTCAGAGCGATAGAACGAAAATTGTTTTCTGCTCTCGCGCCAATTACTTCGAACGAAGGGAGGATCAAGCACGAGCTAACGAGAATATGTTGGATGAACGTTAACGAATAAGATATGTTGGAAGTCGCATCGCGGAGACCGCACCGCGTCTCCGCGCAACGTTTTATCGTCTCCTTGCGCTCTAATCTCTTTTATTTATATCGCCCTCTCCTCCCTCCTCTCATTTCTGCATGCGCGTTCTGCCGCTAACAAGGAAATGATATAGACGGGGCAACACGCGCACTGCGATAACACTTTCCTGCGCGTCCGCACGTGGGTGGCGATCACTGCAGCTCCGACCGACACGTCGGTCGTCTCCCATTGTAACAAGAACGGCGGCTTCTTGCGTCTCCGCTGTTAATTAAGATTCATCTCCGCGAGAGCCACGAGATACATCCGACCATTATCCCCCTTTGTTGCTCGATTAACGCGAACCGCGCATCGGATTCTCCGCGCGCATCGCATTTCCCTGCCTCCCGAGATCGAAAAAACCTTTCGTGTACGATTTCGATAAAAGCTCGAACGTCGCGAGCAAGCCAACGATTTATCGATGTTTACTCATACGTGGGAGCGAGACAACAAAAATCCAATAAAATTAAATCTTGACATTTAAAAAAAAAAAAGACTTTTTGCAAGTGTGTCGGATCTATTTGCTTTGTTTCGTATATGATAAAAATTTCGCGAGAATTAGCGCGACTTCACGAGCGAGAAAGTAGCTCGTAACGGGTCGTCGGCCATTGATTGAAGTTAAATTAAATTCGAAGTTAAATTGAAGGTTAATCGTTAGTTAACATTTAGTGTGAGCGTATTGAAGTTTTTTCGGTTACAACTTCTGCCACGAATGAAGTCACTTGAGAATCATTGCGCGTGTACGACGACAGTAAAGAGACGGTCGTTGTGATAACGAGTGTGAACACACGTAACTGCGGCGTTCGATAAAACATTGACAGTTAATTGTTTTTTTTTTTCACGCTGCTTTACATTTTCAACAAAAACAAATTTAATTACTTAAAGTACGTAGAGTCGTTAAACAGCATTTTACTCTTCAACTGTTTTATACAATCACGAGAAAAAAACTTACTTTACGTTTGTTCCAAATCTTTTTGCGTCTCGTTACCGATCTCGAGAGAGACAAACGCACTTATTACAATAGAGCCAAAGAAACGGATGTGAGCGTACATGACAGTCCGAGAGCAATGAGCGGAACGCCGACCAGGACCTTCCTTCGGTGAATCTTGTGACAAACATGAGAAAACTCGTTGGAGTCGAAAAGCAGCGCGCGCTGCTCGGCTGACCACGATAATTGATCGTTCGTACAAGAAACAGTGTACAATCGGTAGACAATTCAATCTCTGAGTAACATCTACTTGCGCTCGCGTAATAGTAAAAACTTGAGTAGATTAAAAGATCAAGACTGACTTCTCGTATAAAAAAAAAACTCTTCACGGTTCAACAATTTCCGCAAAAGAAAACGCACAACTTCTAGCAGTAAATAGATTCGAGTACTTCGGAAATTTTCAATAAGTGCGATAAAACAAAATAATAAACTTATTAAAATGACGGAAGTAAAAACACTTTGAAAAAGACACAGTAAAAAAACACAAGTTGATTCATTATCGTGTTTGTACATCTCAAACCACGTGTCATAAAGCGCGGACGTTCGCACTAGAGATCTAAAGGATGCTAAAAGTGAGAAAACATTAAAAAAAAAAAACGCGAAAACAATTACACAACGCTTTCTTGAATGGATCGCGGAAATGAGGAAACGCTCTGAGAGCGCGGGGACGCGTTGTATGTTCTTTTCTTTCATGCCGTCGCGCGCGCGCGCAACGAAATAAAATCCGTATAAATACCCATCGACTGAGAAAGAAAAGCGCGCGGAAAAGCGCGCGTTTTTTTTTTTTTTTTTTTATCTTTAGCTGCCCGTGAGAGGTAAAGAATGTCCTCTCGTGCAAATGAAAAGTGGCGGCGTGATATCCGTTACTCTCTTAAGCGCGAAAAAGCACAGCGAATTCCGAGCGGAATAAATTAAAGCATGCCAGCGTAATCGCGCTATCCCTCCGAGAAAGAGAAGACAAGCGGAATTACCAGCCGCGTACTTACCCCCGGAATCGTCCTGACGGCCTGTCTGAAATAATATAAAAGTAACGTAAAGAACACGCGCGCGCGGCTTAGAAAATGAAGAGAAAGAGAGAGAGAGAGAGAGAGAGAGAGAGAGAGAGAGAGAGACGAGAATCCGGAACAAATTTGCCCGAGTTTATTCGTTGCGACAGAAAACACGGAGGCGAAACGCGTTGCTGCTGCTCTAGTGAAATGATGCGCGCAGGAAAATTCCGTGGAATAATTCACACGATTGCTAATGGAGTTTTTTCCTCGTCTGTCAGCTGCGTCGCGAGTACTCGAGAGAGAGAGAGAGAGAGAGAGAGAAGAGTGAAAAAAAGAGAGGGAGAGAAACATCAGCGAAACATTGTGCTTTAATATTTCAAAGCAACGAAAAAAAATCTAAATTATCGAGATAAGCACGAATTACGAACCGTCATCGAGCGGCTTTTAGTCGCGATAAATCGCGAGCGGAGATAAAGTGTAAATGCCGTTCGGATTAAGTCCGAGACGAAGCAAAATAACACCGACGACGAAAGCCGGTCCCCCCGCCGCGGCTCTGAATGAGAAAGCCGTCCGATGCACTTGCCCCGGTTTCCTTCCCATGTCCCACCGCGTCACTCGCGTTCATCCGCTGCACGAGGAGACGAACGAGTTGTACAGGAGGCAGGATAATGTCAGGACCGTGTACAGCACATAAAACGGAAGAGCGTGACGAAGCCGGAATGAGAAAGAAACGAAAGAAGAAGAAGGTACGACTGATTCGCGAGCCCTCCCAGGTGCCGGGCTTTTTGCCAGATCCATTCGTGATACATCCCTCTCCTCACACCCCCTTCCCTCGTTTATCCGCCGAATCCGTATAAGGATACCTAGGGTATGATGAGGACAGACGGGAGGAAAAAGAGAAAGAGAGAGAGAGAGAGAGAGAATGGCCCGTATAAACCGATCAAATCGGTCGATCGAATGAAGAGGTTTTATGAGAGGCTGCGAGATTTCAAGCTTCGGATTTACGGCGGACAGGCGCAGAACGCGCGCGAGTTCTCGATGGTTGCTGTGAAAAAAACTGGATCGAGCCGCATAATTCTCTCTATCTCTCTCTCTCTCTTTCCCGGTCATTTTTATATCGTTAATAACAACAAACGATCGACGAGCTCCGGTTCGCGAGGCGCGTTATATCGAGGACCGAGGATAAAACAATTGGCCACTGTGCGTCGTAAACGGTGATTTACGAGCAGTACACGAGTGCTGCGAAATGCTGTCGACCTTCCCGGTCGGTCGGCGCGATCATCTGGATGATCACGCGCGAGGAGGAGTGTATAAACGTCATACGCGTTAACTGCAGTGTTGCCTATCGAGGCATGTCGATCGGGACTGACGTCGAATAATGGCGGCCGGTAATTGTTCATCGTTACCGTTGTCGTAACGATCGGCGATGTTTTTTGCTGTCAGTGCGCGTTTCCGCGCGTACAAATTTTTGTTTCGCGGCTTAACGAGCGCGCAGCTACGCGCCCAACAAGTTTCGCGCCAAAAACACGCGTTTTTTTTTTTTCACGCGTTTCTGATATTAATGAGTCCGCGGTATCACGCTTCGCAAACAGCGATCGATCGACCAGACGGCACGAATTGTAGCACGCGTGACTAGACAAGATTGTCGATTTTTTTCAATCTACCACGCAGGTAGAAAAAACGCGCGCGCCGGACGCACGCGGTGAAACGCGCGTGTAGAAAAAAAAGAGAGATGAGAATGGGATACTTGAGATCGGTAATACGCATTTTCACGATAGATTAGGTCCCGAAAGAACCGCCACGTTGATGACCACGGTGACACGTGTCACTTATATACGTGTCATGCGTGACCAACCGCGTTCTACGGAGATTTCTATTCTGTGACACCCTCTCGCCCAAGTAAAAAGAGATTCGGAGAACGAAATAAATCGATACAATGAAACTGCGATCGGTCATCCTCACACAAATGATCGATCTCGACGTGATATCTCGACATTCAATCAAATAAAAAAAAAAAGTAATACAATCAAAAGTATATAAAAATATTTTTTGTACATATCGAGAGATTTTTTTGTTGATTGAAATAACTTTCAAATAACAAAACTTTTCGTGTTTTTTGTCGTCAAAATTGTTAATATTGAATATTTGTTATATCTTTTATGTATTTTTTTTTGTCCCGGTTATTTTATAACAACATTAATTCTCTTTCACAATTCGAGAAATTTTCAAATAAATCGTAGGCGGAAGTAAAGAGAGAAGAAAAACCATAAACTCACCCGGCAATCGGTGTCATCTTCAGCGCCAATGCGCGACTGATGCAGAATCCGGCGCCGCCTGTGGCGAACCAGAACTTCACCTTTTGCTGAAACACACAGAAAATCGAGTGAGAAACGACGACTAGAGAGGCCGACCACGGAGAAATCACAGGAGCCGCGTCCGTAATTTATACGATGCATCGATTCGAGATCGGAATTGATCGATCGGTCGTCGAGGCACGCATCGAGGCCGCGCTCGCTCGACGGCCGTTATTAGCTGATTAAGGATGAATGACTCGCTTGATGAGAATTAGGGTTGCGGATAGATTACATATCTTGACGTATCGACGGGTGTCACACGGGGGCTACCTCGAGGGAGCAAATTATGACGGAATCGACGCTTTTGACGAGTTAACGTCCTACAAGAAGACCCCAATTTCCCGATCTTTGCGATGTTGCGGGAAATCGACGAGACAATGTAGTCGAAGAACTGTCGAGCAGTTGTTCTTCGTACAACACACGTATATAATTAACGATTTAAAAAAATAAATAAATCGACGAGATATACAAATTTTAAATCAACGAGATATCAAGATGTCTGTCATCTCGGCGGACGTGACACAAACAGATATTGATAGAAAATACGCGATAGAAAGAAAGGCGGCCGCCGCCTTTTCTCAATCGGTCTTTTGTCCGCCGTTTGACCTGGAAATTCTGCTACGTTCTCCTGCGCGCACGTGTGTGATGTGGAGATATACACACGCTGCCGCTCGCGTGTATACACACACACACACACATACGCGAGCGCGAAAATACAACGAGCCACGAGATACGAGCGATTTCTGGCCGATTGCCGTGCGCGGCCGCAGGCTATTAAAGCCGGACTTCTAGGCGGCTCGAGCGCGATCCACCGATACTATCTCAATACCGGTGCCAGGACCGTATAGGAATCGTGCCGTTTCTTCACGAAGGCGTGGTACATACATACATCGCGAGCACCACGAGCTCCGCCGGGGCTAGATGAGACCGCGGCACCACGTGCGTATACAAGCGACGCGTTCGCGCTGATAAAACCGTCACCGAGAGGTTTTGCTCCTCTCGCGTCCTCCATAAAACCTCGAGGATTCGCGAAACGCGAGTTTAACGTTAACTCTCTCTCTCTCGCGCGCGCGCGCGCGCACGCGAGCGCTCTTGCATAAAGAAACAAGTTCAAGGGGAACGAGTTATCGAGACTGATCTGCTCTCGCGCGACGCGAAATTAGTCGCGCGCTTAATTGACTTAATTAAATGCGAAATGAAAGAGAAAACCGCGCCAGGTGTTATCGCCGACGATAACACACGTATAATAAGTTAACGCTTCATCGCGCCGATTTCGCGCGTCGCGTCTACATCTCATCGAGAGATTGGATCGTGCGCGCAATTTCACTTTGTTACATTGGCAAAAAAAAAATTCGATACGTAGTTCGCGAAAAATCTACACATCGTACAACGCGTTTGTTGTTATTGGAACGAAGCAGTTTTGTAATCGAACGTATTTTTCAAGTCCGTTCGATTTGACATATTTCGCGGCGCTTGAAGTCACGGGGAAGAGAGAAAAAGAGAAAGAGAGAGAGAGAGAGAGAGAAAAAAAATTCACGAGAGCGCTGATGATGATAACCTACGGGCTCGTCGATGTTATCTCTCTGCGGATCGGGCATGGCGGTAGAGCTCACGGCATGCTCCTTTCTGTCTGGGCCTTTGGGTGTGGTGGAGAGCTTAGCGGAGATGCCCAACAACATTGCGGATATATCGCGCGCACGTACGCGCGTACAAACCACCGCGTATATATCCGTAAGGTCAGCTGACAAGCCGCGCGATCGGCGTTACCGTTATAGCGCATGTTACATACGTGCAAAAGCTACGCCCCGATAGAAGAGCGCGCCCGCGCGCGCGCGCGCACTCAGCGTAATCGTCCTCTCCCGGACTCTGTTTGAGGATCTATAATTTTGCTCGGCGGGTATAATAAGATGGTCAAGTAACAGGCCTACCCGACGACGCAGAAATTGCGGCCGATGATATCGCGCGGCGCCTCACCGCCGCGCTGCGATTTGCGCGCGTTTTCTTCGCGATACGTTCACGCATATCTCGTCGCAAACGCCGTTTTTTATTTCAATGAGAGATTGTTCTTGCGTCGTGAAAATTAGTGTTTTTAATCAAAACAAATCCCTCGACTTTCGACTAATTTATTTTTATCGTTTTTTTTTTTTTTTACGTATATCTACGTACGCATGTCCATTTTCTGATACGGCAAACTGGAGAATTCAACAGGGTTTTCCCCGCCAATCCCGGAAAAAATATTGATCTCGTACTTTTCTTCAAGATTGTTCTTATCTTCTTCACGTGATATTCGCTTTTATATCGAACGACAGACAATCAAAAAGAAGAGAGATACGGAGACGGGACCTCACCGGCGCATTAGATATACACGCGCGATACGGGTAGCCGCCCGAGATAGGGATCGGGAACGCTTTTACAAGAAGGAAGCTATTCTTTATTTCTCTCTTTCGGGGCCATTTGAATAACACGACATCGTGTTGCGGATCCGTGCGGAGTCACGAGTGGAGAAGCCACTGTAGCGCGACCCGAGGAACGCGAGAATACCGAGGTCGTCCGTGAACTCGTTCTTATTGTGTTACGAGCGTGAGCGCGCGGCGAAGTACGAAACAATGTCGGGGATCGGTATCAGCGCGATTCCCCGCGAACCGATGTTCGACGCGCGGTCTCCGTCCCCCGCTGTGTGTGTGTGTCGTTTCGTACTAAGTTTGATCCCGTTGAGAAGAAGCCATTCCTCGAATTCTTCTTCCCGACTGCGGGATCAACTTGCGGTTTCTTCTCGACGCGGATAGATATAATTAACTACGTTAACTACGTTTTACATATTAATTAAAAACCAAGAGAGACGCGTAATTTTCGCAGCGAGAGACTTTGGTTGGGAAAAAAAAAAAAACCAATAATTTAATTAACAGCAAAATACGATATTTTGTAAAAAAAACCCTCGAAGAAACATTCTCCGGCTAGAAAGAGAAGATCCGCATGAAAACACAAGTCGACGAGGCAATCAGTCAGTAATTTTAATTATCGCGCGCGTATTTACGACCGGTAATCGCTCGATCTCGGACGCGCGGCAATCTCGCAGGGGGCATCGCGCCAGTAACGAAGGGACTTACCGATAGGCGGCCAAGATTGTTGCCGGTGTGCGCCTCTGACTAATTACATTCCTAACCCGGGACGAGGGCACGTCGCCGGGGGAATAGCGTACCGCGAGTGAAGGCCGCACGATTCTATATCCAATTATGTACGGACGATTGGAGCAGAGAGTAGCACGTAGGATATGTTGCGCGATTTCACTTCGCCTTCCGACGATCTGTTATCGTCGTCGTCGAGACGAGTAGTTATATTCGGGATCATATAAATTTTCTATTTAATTAATCCCTACTCCGTAATTACTATTTCTCCTCGGCCTTTGATTGTTTTTCTGATAAAAGCGCGAGTGCGTCCCGCATCTCAAGAAGCACATGTCGTCCTTTTACTATCGATACACGATGAAAACTGATTGGGTTTTTTTTTTTTTTTTTTTTTTACACGAGAGAGAGAACACGTGTAAGTTATAAATAAACATACACCGCAACTCCGTCGCATTTAAATCTCTCCAATAAATGTGCAATTAAGCGAAAAAATAATAAAAGAGTTTATAAACTTTCGAGTGTGTTAACTAGCTGGTTATTTTTTTTTTAATAAATTTTCTACTCGCTAAATAGCCGCGCGATATCAAATAAAATAGAATCGGAGATTAGATAAATTCGTAGAGTTTATTTGCCGAACCTCGGACTTTTATAGCGGCCCCGAACGTCGAAAAGCGGCTATCGTTCGAGGAAAACGACGGTCGCGGCGATCTTTCAGCGGAACGAGTCCCCGCGTTCTCGAGATCGTAAAACCGAGACTGAATGACACGGCGTGTAATATCTGATGGAGGACGGGTGGCTGTTCGGTATAATGGGACTAATGAACAGATTAGAGACCCCGATACGTAGTGTACGTTCAACACTCAAATGGCGAACCGTACGTATGCGCGCTAAAGAAAATCGCATTGCGCCGGTAATGTGGGTCGAAAAACACACACGTACCCATCCAAAAAAGACAGAAATTCCAATCTCGCGAAACGACGAGAAAGAAGAACCGCGCGAAGACCCGCGAGATAATTTCGCTCTCGCGCCCGACCGCGTGATTAATACCGTAAGTTTTTCAACCTCGCCCGGTGGGAGATGCGAATCTAAGTAAATTACCATGAAACAACGTTCGATCTTCCGGGGGGGTGAAGTCGCGTGTATTTTTCTCGCACCCGTCGCTATCTCGTTTCAAATATATACACCGCGCGCTCTATTCGCGCCGCAAGACCAATGGCTGACGATTTGTATGCACAGTCATCCGCACTTCCACGTAGATTTATCAACCCGATATCTACGGTCCGAACAGGAAGTCGCTCTTGCTCTTGTTTCGAATTCGCTCGAGCGTGTCCCGCGGCATACAAAGCAAAGCACATAAAGAGAGAGAGAGAGAGAGAGAGAGAGAGAGAGAGAGAGAGAGAGAGAAAGAAAGAAAGATAGAGAGACAAACACACCGCGCGCGTCGATATTTCCATAAATATATTTCCCGTCCGTGAGCGTTTTTCAATCTCGAATAATATCATTTTTGACCGGAACAAATAAGATCTGAAAACGTAACTTTTTCTTTGCGATTTTTCGATGAAATTTACAAAACGACCTTGATAATACAAAAAATAAAACACAAAAAAAAGCTTTCATATAGAACTTCAAAAAAATAATAATCTCGCAAATGTGAAACGCCAGTTAAACTGCAATGCAGATTCTTTCCTCGTATTAACTTTCGCGTGTGAGCGCGAACGTACTTTACCAAAAGTAAATTTTCATTTTAGTACGCGAGTGTTCTTCCATTATTATTCTAATAATTTAGCGATCTTTGAATTCGCGAACAAATAATAGCCGATGAGATCTCACGATAACGTTGAATATCGTTCTCAAAGTTTTCTCTCGACCGACAGATGACAGGA